TTCAGTAAAATCTTGCTTGCATGTGAAATCAGTGAAATTTTTCTGTGGTTTCCACATTCGGTTGGGTCGCCTTTCTTTGGGATAGGAACAAATATCGATCTCTTCCAAGTTGTTGGCCAAGTGGTCGTTCTCCAGATTTCTTCGCACAACTTGGTGAGCACGTCCAGGGCACATCCAGGAATTTATAAAGTAACTGCATTTTAGAAACATGCATTTTAGTATGTATGTATTATATATGCATATGTGTATGTCTCCATACATGTATTTAAGAACTAAAAAGAAAAAAATATACCAAAAGATTCATATTGACTATCGTGGGATTATGAATAATTTACACTTATTTAAATCTTTTCATAACATTAGGATATTACGTGGTGTATATCTAATAGTTTGTGTATTATTCTAGGGAGTGGAGGGAAATATTTTCAGGTAAGAAGAAAGAAAACATCTTGAGTCTTATTTATATTGTCTTTTAAAAGTTGCCATGTTTGTGAACAGCATATGAGTTTATTCTTTTTCTTACCTATTTCTTATGTATTAATTAAACCAACAGCTTGTCAAACAACTTCATCTGTACTGCTTGAACACATTTATCCAGTCTCGGGCACTAAGTGTGGAATTTCCAGAAATGATGTCTGAAGTTATTGCTGCACAATTACCCAAGATCTTGGCAGGGATGGTGAAACCTCTTCTCTTTCATAAAAAGTGAATGTCACTTGTTTTCGTTAAGGAAAAAAAATGTTGTGGAATGTCTTTATGTTTTTTGTTTTGTCAGGATTATAAAATATCTCCGTTTTTACAATATTTCTGCTCAAAGCCTTACATTTACAACATATCATATTATGTCAATTTAAGACAACTGGTGAAATTCTGATTTTTCCTTTGTGAATTACGATTAGTATTTTAAGTGTTTTTGTGTACTTGTATTTTCTTTAAGAGTTTACCAGATCAGAAATGTACTAAAATTGATTGTTAAATGCAACTTATGTGAGGGTTTTTAACTTTTGCATTTGAAAAATCAACTTCAGAAAAAAAATTCTTACAGGTGATAATAAAAAGCTCATTACACATGTTACTTCTAGACTACCTAAGAAGTCACATGTCTCTTTGATTATATTTCCATTGTCTCTTTGATTATATTTCCAAAAAGGGGACCTAAAAAATAGTATGCAAAATAGTATGAGTATGTAAATATATATATATTTTTGAGGAGAAGATTCATAACCTTCAGCATATTTTCAAAGGGGCTATTAATGCAAAAAAGAGAGTGAGCAAGAGAGAGCGCAAATATTTTTTTTAAATAACCACTGAAATATATTGGTTTCTTAATATTGTGATTATTTAATCACAGCTCTTATCCTAAGATGTTCTTACAGATTAATCACACAAAATCTCTAAGGAAATTATTAAATACAGCCATATCATTTTGACAACAGTATTAAAGATTTTATACTTTTCTACTAAGCTTTTTTATTTTGGTGGAGGTGGGGAGTTTTCCTCTAATAAGAGAGCCCACTCTGTATAAGCAGATTCTAACCCATAGATTCTGACCTCTAGGACAGGATGGAGTGTCCACAACAGCAGTCTTTATGAAAACAGATCGTCTCACTTTCTCCTGTGGAGCAGCTGGTCGCTTTAGACCACCATTCTTTTAGTTCATAGCCAAGCATTTTAACCACTGTGCCACAATTGCTCCCTAATAACATATAGTGAATAGAAATAGGAAGTCAGACGAATATGTGGCAAACTCCTGTCATTATTAGCTGTGACATATGGAAAGTAACTTAACCCCAATTTCTTCACTTTTAAAACTGGGGTGTCTTTACTGCCAACTTCTCTTTTTGCTAAGAGCTTTTTTCCAACATCTTAAATCAAAAAAGGGATAAAGGAAGTGAGAGAGAGTTAAAAGATGGAAAGAAGAGGAGAGCAAGAAGAGAAAATGTTTTTATTCTTTTTTTATTACTCCTCAAAAAAGTGGAGAATGATGTTTTTCAATGCTTTCATCAGAGGTGAATCTCAGATTGGAACTATTTCAGTAACTTTGATCCATTTTCCTACTATATGAACTGAAAATACTCTGTCAGTAACTCCATGTGACACAGAACTTGCCACAGACCTTTTGACTGTGATCATTAGGGCTACAAATCACCAGATCTTTGTCCCCTGGAGCAGCTGGTTGGTGTAGGCCCCAGCTTTTCAACTAGTCGCTAAGCACTTGACTATTATGACAATAAAGGTCCTTTTGAACTCTCAGACTCCAGAGTCATCAAGGATATTCCAACTCATGCCAGCCCAATAGAAATCAGTAGAACTGCCCCAAAAGGTTTCCAAGGCTGGAATCTGTAATTCCATGGCACTAATGGCTTGAAACCAGACCTTTTTAAAACAATTTCATCAGTATTTTGAACACTAATGTTATTAAGTGCTAGAGAGTTATCACCAACCCATAGTGTCCCTGTGTATGATAAAACAAAATCCTGCCCAATCCAGTACAATCTCTGCTTTTCTCCATCCGTTTTGTTAAGGGTTTCCCTCTTTTCCATTTCCCCAGGATCTGATCCCTTCTGAGAAAATGTCTAAAGTATGTGAGACAAAAATCACACCACCTTTGCTCCAGGGGAGCATTCTGATTGCACATCTTCTAAGTCAGGTGTATTTGTTCTGGCAGTCCACAGTGTATACAATATTCTTAATCAAGTCTAAATTTAAAATTATCGCTTCTTCAGTCTCCCTATTCATTGGTGCTCTGGTGGCAAAGTATGTTATGTGTTGCACTATTATCGGAAAAGTCAGAGGTTCAGTTCTATCAGCTGTTCCTCAGGAGTGAGATGAACAGTTCCCTCCTATAAAGATTTGTAGAACTGGAAGTCTGATGGAGGGTTGCTGTGAATTGGAATCTACTCGGTGGCCATGGGTTTGAACTCTATAGGGCATTTAAAAGGGAGTTCTGTTAGCCTACTTGAAAGAAGCAATCTCACAGGCACACAATTCAAATCCACCAGCTTCTCTACAGGAGAAGAATGAGTAGTCTCCTCCATTGTGATTTACTGCCTCTGAAAACCTTCTGGAGGGTCAGCTATGAGGCCATTTCAACTTGACAACAGACAACAACAAGGGCATTTAAAATAGTATAAAAAGTAACCAGGGCCTTTGTCTTAGATTCATTATATCCATGGTGCAAATAAAATGGTTAAGATACATATTTCTAATTCTGGGTTATGATGTTCAGCGTACATTTAACCCAAGTATCGAAAACTATTCATTTAAAACAAGCCCTTCTTTAGTGTGTCTATTTACATCTGTTTTTATTTGAATGTGTATATTACAGTAGATCCTTGCATTCAGTTCTTTGGTATCTACATACTCTTCCCATGTTTACAACCCAAGCCAAATGTCATTTTCTGAGAAAGATCTACTGTGCCATTTCCTCTTTTTAAGACTTGCTAACTTTCAATCATCCATCACAGTGATTCTCAACTGTAGTGACATATTAAAATTACATATTAAAATTTCAAGAGAGGTGATTGTTTAATTGGTCTGCTACCTTTGCACTGCCGATGTATGGCAGGTACTCAGTTGTGTTTAAGTATCAAAAAGGTAGAACTTTCTCCTCTACACTCTGCAGTCATAGATTCATCTCAAGGTTCATCTATGCAGATCTTTTTATCATCTATTTTCTGCCTGAATTTTATCTTTGATGCCTATCCAACTTCTATCTCAACCTTCAAACCACAGCTCAAGTATAATTTCTGTAAAGTGTTTGCTGGGTCCTTCAAACAATGACTTGCTTCCTTCTTGGGCTTGACTGCCATTTTGTGTAGGTAAAACAGTGCATTAAGCATCAGATTGCTAATGAAAAGGCCTATGGCTTGAACCCACCTATCATTCTCTTGGTGGAAGATAGACGGGCAACTCCTGTCAAGATTTACAACTTTAGAAACCTGATGGAGGGTTACCATGATTCAACAGGTAGTGGGATTTGTATTTTCACAATGTGTTATTCTACAAATCTCTTCTAAAAGGATGGGAGCCCTTGGGAGGTGAGACAATGAATGTTGACTGTAGAATTGAATGCCTGTTACCTCTCTATCTTCATTATCCCCTGGCACCATACTGTTCTTTGGCTCACTGTATCAATTTCTAAAATTTTATCACTTTACCTTCCTATACTTCCCTTATTGTATCTCTTTATTTATCTCTTCATATCTTTAAATTGTCTACCTTTTCTTCTGCTCTGAGGTCATTTCCGTTAGCGCAGGAGAATAGAAGTCCTTTGGGGTTTTCTTTATTTCTTAAACATAACACATTGTTCTCAATCTGAAAACAGATTGAAAATAATATTCTTTATTTCCTTCTTTTAAAAAATTCACAAATTCAATTGCTTTTTATCCTTAACTCGCCTCAATTATTTTGTATTATGGACCACAGTATAAACCTTTTCCTCATTTATCACTTTATTTAGCAATCATAATAAGAGTTCCTACTATGTGCAAGTAAATGTGCTGATTAGCATTATAAGACTGTGGATATGAAGGAAGACTATACCCAAAAAGTTGTAGTACAAGAGTAGGTATATATAGCACAGTGCCTGGTAAGTAACAGGCATTCAAGTATATGAAAATTTGGATTAGTGAGGTGTAAATGATTAGTACAATTTCTTTTAAGGGAAAAATGTGAGATGAAATTGCTGCAACAGAGTCAATTTCAACTCACAGTGACCCTTTAGGATAAAGTAGAACTTCCTATAGGGTTTCTGTAAATCTTCACAAAAGTGACTGTCATATTCTTCTTTCTCCCTCAGAGAAACTTGGGGCTAAGAAATGCCAACCCTTTGGTTAGCAGCTAAATGCTTTACTCAATATTCTACCAGGATTCCTGCAATGTGAAATACTAACTTTAAGTATAAATAATTTGAAGTCAAGGATCAGTAACTCATTTGCATTAAATGTATATTCACATTTTTTATTCATACAGCTTTCCATAAATGTCATCTTATTTAAAAAGTTACTTAGATTTTATTTCTTTCCTTTATCTCCTATGCAGTCGTTTTAGGAATTCTAAATCGGGTAGGTGGGGGGTGGTATCTCCCACTATAGATTAGGTGGTATCTCCCACTATAGATTATGTACCACAGGGAGATTTCTAGTCATGTGCCTCTCTACTCCAAAAGACTATCAGGACTTCATTCTCAAGAATCTGACCCAGAAACTTTTAAATCATGTGGCCACTGTATAAATGGATTCGTGATACTTTGAGTTAAAACAGTATTTTACTGATACAGATCTTCTTCCATCGGCAGAGATGGAATATCCAAAATATTTTTAAATTATCCTGATTTTGGCTGACTCTAGGGAAGCACAGTTGTTTTGTGGCAGTGGGACTGTTTTACAGCCTTATAAAAATGCCTCCTATCCTTCATACTGATTGTGGTCCACAATGTTTCAACCCCAGGGTTTCATATTTAAGGCTTAGCTTTAAAAAATCGTGATAACAATCACTTCTAAAAAAGGACATGACCAAAAGAGATGTCTAATCTCTTGATCTTTTGATTTCCACCTAGCAATATTCCATTACTACCTTCATACACCTTACATAGAATATTAATAAGACAGGCTAGTTACTTGAAAATAATTGAAGGTTACATTTATTAATACTTAAATAGATTCATGAAAATACATCCCTTAATAAGATTGAGGAGCCATTTGAGCC